GGAGAAGCGGTGCGTCGGTGCGCGCCCGGGATCCGAACCCGGGCCGCCAGCAGCGGAGCGCACGCTCTTAACCGCTAAGCCACAGGGCCGGCCCTCCCCATGTCTTATAAAACTAGCTGGGTGGTAGGTAGCAGATGGCTAACCCAAGTTCTTTGGAAACCTCATCTTTGAATCTTGGGACTTTAGAGTGGCCTTGGATTGCGGTTATGCAATGAACATTTCTAAGGGAAATGGCTTTTAATGTTTGAACAGGCAGTGATGCCAAATCTCTATCTGGACATCAAAGGTCTGAGTTTGTCAAACTAGTTGATAAATGCATTTCCAATGGTTGGGGGAATAAAATGATTCCCTTCTCCTAGGTGGGAAGTTTCTAAGAGGGTCTTTCCTCTTTGCATATTCCAGACCATGAAAATGGAACTGGGACCAACATCTACGAGGCCCTAAATAGTGTCTACCTCATGATGAATAACCAAATGCAACGCCTTGGTATGAACACGGTAGCCTGGCAGGAAATCCGACACGCCATCATTCTTCTGACAGATGGTGGGTATCGTCGTCTCTGTGACTGAGTCTGGCACAGTGGAAGGAGCACCAATACAGGGTCAGAAGACCTACATTCTGGTTCTCCCTCTGTCATTTTGGGCCTCAGTTTCTTATTTATAAAGTAGAAATAGTGTTGATGATGCTGAAGGTAATGACAACCACAACAACAATGCTAATGATAGCTTCCCTCCTTTCCTTACACAATTTTTATGGAGAGCAATTTAAGTAGTTTGTGTAAAAGTGCTTTGTGATTATAAATGTTAGTTATTGTTGCTACCTGGGAGGTCACCTAGATGGAGATGCATAGCTCCGGAGCAGAGACGTCAGGTGCGTGGATGGAAGGGCGGCCTGTGCGGTGGACCTGGGCTCTGTCATTTCTCTCTTGATTTTGGCCAAATTACATAGCCCCTCCATAACTCAGCTTTCTTGTCTATAAAATGAGGATACCCACACTGCCTCAGATTTCATGAGAATTAAATGAGATAAAGTATATGAACCTCCTAGCCCCGTGCCTGGAATGTAGAGAATTTCAGTAAATAACGTATCTTGAAACTCTTATGGTAAGTGTAAGTGTTGAGGTTCCCAGGATGAATGCCTCCCCACTCCTCCAGAGCTGTGGGGAATCCTGATATATCCACCAAGAAGGACAAATCTTTTCCTTCCCTGTTCTAGGAAAGTCCAACATGGGGGGTTCTCCTAAGCTGGCTGTGGACAATATCAATGAGATCTTGAACATCAAGCAGAAGAGGAACGACTATCTAGGTGAGCCTCTGCCCTTGCCCCCCACCTGTGCTGTCCCTGCAGGGGACACGAGCCCTGAAGGCAGGGGTTCCAGCATCTTGGCTTTATTTCTAGTGAGACCTCAGGCTGCGTCGTTCTATATAAAGGCAGCCAAGTGTCACGTTGAAGAGTCTGGAGTCAAACTGCCCATGGTTTCAACCTTGGTTTCATCTTCAATCGGCTGTGGCCGTGGGCAGCTTCTTCATTTGTAAGAGGGGGAGAGTGTTAGGATCTGCCTCACAGGTCGAGATGCTCAGACATTGCCTGGCTTAGAGAAACACAGTGTATGTTAGCGGCCACCATCATCACCATGGTCATCGTTATCCACCATCTTATATTCCACAAACCTCTCTGGGGAAAAAAAGGCCTGGCTTCCTTGTAGGGACTGGCCCTGGCATTTCCTCTTTTAGCAGTACAGGTAACTAAGTAAGGCTTTGGCACTTGCACCTCTAACAGAACAATTCCTCAGGTTCAGACTAAACACAAATTGTGCTGATCTTTGACCAGAAAAGAATTTTGGAGAGAAGTGCTTCAGATAAGAGGGGGCGGTTGGTTTGTGTGTTTATTATTTTGAGGAAGATTGGCCCCGCGCTACCATCTGTTGCCAATCTTCCTCTTTTTTCCTTTTTCTCCCCAAAGCTCCAGTACATAGTTGTGTAGCATAGTTGTAGAGTTGTAGCTCTTCTATGTGAGATGCCGCCTCAGCATGGCTTGATGAGTGGTGAGTAGGTCCATGCCCAGGATCCGAACCGGCGAACACTGGGCCGCCAAAGCGGAACGCGCGAACTTAACCTCTGTGCCACCGGGCTGGGGGGGCAGTTGGTTTCAAGCCCTAAGTTTCACTTTGCGCTGGGTCTTCACTGTTCTGTTCATGCTGCCCCATCCCACCTCCCCCTCAGGGGTGAGCAGATTCCTCTTTAAAACTCTGGCCTAAGGAAGGCAAAACCCTAACTCCTTAGCATCACTAGGCCGGGGTGAAATGCTGAAAAACACTTTATTGAAAAGAAGCAGGAACTAAAGAGAAAGAGTCAAAGAGAACACGTGGGGCAGGGTATTTGTCCAGCTCCCACCGAATTGCTTCGGCCTCGGCCAGTGCTAGATTGCTTCCTGAGGGAAGGCTTCTCTCTCAGTCTATCTGAGCACCTCGCTCCTTACACACAACATAGCGTCCTCTGGAAGCAAAAAAAGGGCCATGAGGGGTGCCAAGAGTGGGAGAAGACTGGACTCCATGGGCACCCCAGGCACCCACGCTAGCTCAGAGGCTGGGCACAGACGGTTGTGTGGGCCCAGGTTCTCCAGTGGGAAGAGATGGCTCCAGACCCCTCCCCCAGAGCCTACATTTTTACAGAGGAAGACCAGATCCGAAGTTCTGCCTCCATGCTACATTCATGAGTTCTTTTTATTCATTTATTCATTTAAAGTACTTACTGTGGGCCGGCCCAGTGGTGTAGTGGGTAAGTCTGGTGCACTCTGATTCAGCAGCCCAGGTTCGCAGGTTCAGATCCCTGACGCAGACCTACACCACTCATCAGGCCATGCTTGGTGGCAACCCACATACAAAATAGAGGGGGATTGGCACGGATGTTAGCTGAGGGACAACCTTCCTCAAGCAAAAAAAAGGAAGATTGGCAACAAGAGTTAGCTCAGGGCCAATCTTCTTCATAAATAAATAAGTAAGTAAGTAAGTAAGTAAGTGCCTGGCCCAGGAAGGACACCGTTCTAAGGATACAACTGTGAATAGAAGAGACAAAAATACCTCCTTGCATAGTGATGTCATTCTGGAGGGGGCAACGTATTATTTCCTAGGGCTGCTGCAACAAGTTATACAAACATGGGTGGCTTAAAGCAACAGAAATTTGTTTTCTCACGTTCAGGAGGCCAGAAGTCCAAAATCAAGGTATCAGCATGGCCATGCTCCCTCTGGAGGCTCTAGGGAAGAATCCTTCCTTCACATCACCTTCTTCACTGAGTATATCTCTGTGTCGTCACATGGTCTCTCTGTGTGTCTGTGTCCGATTCCCTTCTACTTATAAGGACACCAAGCATCAGATTAGGGTCCACCCTAATCCAGTATGACCTCGTCTTAACTTTATTACATCTGAAAAGACCCTATTTCCAAATAAGGTCACATTCACAGGTACCAGGTGTTAGCACTTGAACATATCCTTTTGGGGGACACATTTTATAGGCATTAAACAAGATAAATAAGGAAACCATATGGCACAGTAGACAGTGACACGTGCTAAGGTATAAAATGAAGCAGGGAGGGAATGGAAGTGTCTGGGGCACTGCAGTTTTAGACAAGGAGGCAAGGGAAGGCCTTGCTGAGATGGTGACACTTGAGTCAAGACTTAAAAAGGTAAGAAAGTGAGCCATGTGGGAAGTCGGAGGGAAGAGTGAACCAGGCAGAGGTGCAGCTCATGCAAAGGGCCTGAGGTGGGAATGTGCCTGCAAATTTGAGGAACTTCAAGGAGGCTATGTGACTGGAAGAGAGTGAAGGGCAAGAAGTGGTAGGAAATGAGATCAGATAGGTAGCAGGGGGTGGGGGTCCAGTTCATGTAGGGCTCTGTAGGACACAAAGTGTTCCGACTTACAGTCTCCTGTTTCATGGGGTAGCCTGTCAGCCCTGAGATTCTGGTGATTTCCCTCTCTCCATCAGACATCTATGCCATTGGGGTGGGCAACCTGGATGTGGACTGGAGAGAATTGAACGAGCTGGGGTCCAAGAAGGATGGTGAGAGGCATGCGTTCATTCTGCAGGATGCAGAGGCTCTGAGCCAGGTCTTTGAGCACATGCTGGGTGAGTGAGCTTTGCCCTCTCTGGAATGGGGTGGGCAGTGAGGAGCAGCCAGGGGTCCAGGTTGGGAACCTGCTCACAGTGTTCCTCACCTGCCTCCTTCTGCATCTGCTCCTCACACCCACAGATGTCTCTCGGCTCACAGACACTATCTGTGGGGTGGGGAACATGTCAGCCAATGCTTCCGCCCAGGAGAGGACACCCTGGCATGTCACTATTAAGGTATGAGGAAGCAGGGATGGGGCTTGGATCCAGAGGTGAAAGCAGCCTTGGGCCAGAGACACAGCAGTCCCTGAAGATTACCTGTCCCCCTGCAGCCCAAGAGCCAGGAGACCTGCCGGGGGGCCCTCATCTCTGACCAGTGGGTCCTGACAGCTGCTCACTGCTTCCGCCAAGCTGAGGACCATACTCTGTGGAGGGTCAATGTGGGTAAGACAGGGCCCGCACCAGGTTCCTGACTCCATGGCCAGAGCTCCCACCCTTGTCCCTAGCATCTGGCCTCTTCAGGAACCCTGGCCCAGCCTAATCCGCCATATTGTTCCCAGGGGATCCCAACTCCCAGTGGGGCAAAGACTTCGAGATTGAGAAGGCAGTGATCTCCTCGGGGTTCGATGTCTATGCCAAGAAGAATCAGGGAATTCCAGAGTTCTATGGGGATGACATCGCCCTGCTGAAGCTGGCCAAGAAAGTGGAGATGTCCACTCATGCCAGGTGCTGGAGTCTGGGATGGGAGGGCGCCCTCCAGGGGAGAGTGCTCTGCGGAGCTCCGGAAGAGGGGTCACTGAAGACAGGCCTGTGTGACCCTTGCCCTTCTTTCCAGGCCCATCTGCCTTCCCTGCACAGTGGGGGCCAACCTGGCTCTCCGGAGACCGCCAGGCAGCAGCTGCCAAACCCACGGTGAGTGCTGGGGCTTCGGGTGCATGAGGAGCTGGGACCTCGACTTGGGGGTGATGACATGGGCTGTGCTGCCATCCCCAAGTCTAGAGTCTGGATAAAGGGACCAGCACCACATCCCCTTCTCTTTGACTTGCAGAGCTTGAACTTCTGAACCAACAGAGCATTCCTGCTCATTTTGTGGCCTTGAATGGGAGCAGACTGAACATTAACCTTAAGACAGGGACAGAGGTGAGGGTCTCAGGTCCGGGATGCGGTGGGGGATGGGATTCCCCTGTGGCAGTTCCCAGAACATCTCTCTTCCTCTTCTAGCTCTGGCTGTGTTCTCCACGTCACCCCGAGTCGCCCCTCCTCCCAGGCCTAGCTGCACACCAGGTATCCCCTGGGCTTTCTCATTCCATCCTTCTCTCCTGTTCCACCCCTACTGCAGTGGGCAAACTGTATCAAGGTCGTCTCCCAAGACAAGACCACATTCCCCAACCTGACAGATGTTGGAGAGGTGGTGACAGACCAGTTCCTATGCAGTGGGACCGAGAAGGATGACAATCCCTGCAAGGGTGAGCCCCTCTCACCCACACCCCATCCCAGAGCCTGGATTCTTGAGGGGATGGCTATCCATGTCCCATGGCCAGCATGCACACCAGGACACCGGTGCACTGCCTGGATGACAGGGGAGCAGGGCGAGAGTCAGGATGACAGTCTTTTGTCTCTCCTTTCTGGCAGGAGAATCTGGGGGAGCAGTTTTCCTCGAGCGGAGATTCAGGTTTTTTCAGGTGAGGCGAGAAGGGAGAAGCTCGCAAGATGGGGGTTACAGGATTTTGGCCTTGTAGAGGGATGAGGGAGGACTTTGAAGGAACCAGGGAGGTTAGGGCTTGGAGCTGGGGCTGTGGCAGCCTCCCACCCCATTCTCTCTTTCTTCCAGGTGGGCCTGGTGAGCTGGGGTCTCTACAACCCCTGCGGCAGCACCGATAAAAAAGCCCGCAAAAGGGCCCCCCCTGGCAGGGTCCCACCGCCAAGAGATTTCCACATCAATCTCTTCCGCCTGCAGCCCTGGCTCAGGCAGCACCTGGAAGGCGTACTGAACTTTTTGCCCCTCTAATCATGGCCACGACCCTTTTGCGGTCCTGCCAGCATCTGCCATCTCTCCCATCTCCTACCTCTGAACTTCCACCCTCAGACCCCATGCCCTATTCTCACTCCCAACTCTGAGTAAACCCCAGCCTCCAGGATCCCGAAGCAGCATATTTGAGCTGGGGAATCCCCAGGGCTCCTGCCAGTGCCCATCCCACCCTCTGCTTTACTTGGCTCACTCTCCTTTCACTTTCACATGGAATTTCCCGGTTATGAAATTAATAAAAATCAGTGATTTCCACATCTGTCCGTGCCTCTGCCTGGGGGCTGCCTTCAGGGGAGGGGAAGGCCGGAATGATTCCAGGAACTGCAGGAAGGCAGGTCAGAGACCCTGCTGGACAAACAGTGGCTGGACTCTGCTCCATAACCGAGTCAACAGAGGAGCGAGCTGGGGCCTTATTTCTGGTCACTAAGAGGGCGGTCTGGGCTTATTGGGGAGGAACTGGGGCTGAGAGAAGGTGTTGAAGGGGAGAGTCCCGGACCCTGGGCAGCAAAGGGTGGGGCTTGTGCAGTTTCTATTTCCTTGACTGGTGGCTCAGTGGGGGCCCTCCCGCTTGGACATTCCGGAAAGTGATGTGGGTAGGGCGGGTGGGGTGAGCTGCAGGTGCCAGAATACAGATTGCATAAAAGGCTAGAGGTTGTGGGGGGCAGGGGAAGGGAGTGCAAGCAGGCCTGGGTGTGGAGTTTCAGCTTGGACACTGAGCCAAGCAGACACGCAGTGCAAGCGGGATAGGCCATCCTGCCCCCAGTCCCAGCTTCTCTCCTGCCTTCCATCGCCATGGGGAGCAATCTCAGCCCCCAATTCTGCTTGGTACCCTTGGTCCTGGGCCTCTTGTTTGGAGGTAAGTGAGAGTCACTGTCCCCCTCCTTCTGCCCCTGGCATCCCTCCTTGGCCTTGTGAGGCTAGGTTTCATCAGCCTTTTTCTTTAGATGTGAGCACGACACCATTGCCTGTGGCCGAACCCCAAGACTCCTGCTCTCTGGAGGGAGTAGAGATCAAAGGCGGCTCCTTCCGGCTTCTCAAGGAGGGCCAGGCACTGGAGTACGTGTGTCCCGCTGGCTTCTACCCGTACCCTATGCAAACTCGCACCTGCAGATCCACGGGCTCCTGGAGCACCCTGAAGACCCAAGACCAAAAGATTGTCAAGAAGGCAGAATGCAGAGGTTGGAGGGTGGTGAGGGTGGGCATGGGCCAGCAGAGGGACAGAGCAGGTGGCAGCCATACAAGGATGAGATTAGAGTTGCATTGAGACCAGGCAGGCAGACAAATTGGGCTGAGCAAGAGTAGGAGCTGTCTAGGGCTGGAGGTGGGAAGGAGGAAGGAGGAAAGGAGCTAACTTTTACTAAGCATTCGCCCTGTGCCAGGCAGCCCTGGCAGTTAATGGAACACTCAGAAATGGGGAGAGAGGAGCAATGGGACTCCCCATGGGTTGAGGGACTCTCCAAGGGTTGAGGGTAGACTCTGCTCCTGTGGGACCAAGAAGACAGTGTTTCTCACTGACACGGTCCCTGAGACCAGCAGAGATACCCTAAAGGGCAGCCCTTCCCTCTCAGTAACTTCTACTTGTCCCCCTCCCCCAAAGCAATTCGCTGCCCAAGACCACAGGACTTTGAGAATGGGAAGTACTGGCCCCGGGCCCCCTACTACAATTTGAGTGATGAGATCTCCTTCCGCTGCTATGATGGTTACGTTCTCCGGGGCTCTGCCAATCGCACCTGCCAAGAGACTGGTCGGTGGGATGGGCAAACGGCCATCTGCGATGATGGAGGTGAGAAGCATCCCATCCCCCAACAACACTACCCTCTCCATGACCGCGCTCCAGCCTGAGGAACAGGCACCATAGCTCTTGTGCTCTACTTTGCCCTCTGGGCCTCAGGCTTTGGTGCTCATCTTCATGTCTCATGCCTCTGCAGCGGCGTACTGCCCCAACCCAGGCATCCCCCTTGGCACAAGGAAGGTGGGCAGCCAGTACCGCCTCGAAGACAGTGTCACCTACTACTGCAGCCGGGGGCTCACCCTGCGTGGCTCCCAGAGGCGAACATGCCAGGAAGGTGGCTCTTGGAGTGGAACGGAGCCTTCCTGCCAAGGTGACCCTTGACCTGTGCCCTCAGGTCAGAACCTGCTCTCCCATCCTCAGGTTCCCACACCAGGGCAGTGTCTTCTCCCCCTACCACAACTCAGCTCTTTCCTCACTTCTAAACCTCCCTGTAGAACTTCCTCACTTCTGAGCCCTTCCCACCCTGGAAACCCAGCATCCTCTGTCTCTCTGGTCACTGTATCCCCGACGTTCCCAGATATTTGACCTGATTTCTGACCTCTCCCAGACTCCTTTATGTACGACACCCCTGCAGAGGTGGCCGAAGCCTTCCTGTCTTCCCTGACAGAGACCATAGAAGGAGTCGATGCCGAGGATGGGCACAGCCCAGGTTTGAAGGCAGAGAGGGGAGGCAGGGCAGGGAATTGGAGGAGGATGGAGAAGGGGCAGGAGGACTATGCATGCTGGAGCCTGAGTCTCTCTGGTGGCACCCAGGGGAACAACAGAAGAGGAAGATTGTCCTGGACCCCTCAGGCTCCATGAACATCTACATGGTGCTGGATGGATCAGACAGCGTTGGGGCCCACAACTTCACAGGGGCCAAGAATTGTCTCAGAGACTTCATTGAGAAGGTGGAACCCCTGCCCTTTGGATGTGGGGACCCTGAATGGACCTTATTGCCCTACCAGGACTAGCTCCCTTGTGCTCCCAAGCCCCTCTGATGAAAATCTCCAGGTCCTATTCTGTCCTGCTCTTTTACTTGAAGCAGTTTCTTGACCTTTAACCCACACTCCTCCATGAACCTTAAGGTAACCAGTCAGCCCTTCAGTCTTTTTTGTGTGTGTGTGTGTAAGGAAGATCAGCCCTGAGCTAACATCCATGCCAATCCTTCTCTTTTTTCTGAGGAAGACTGGCCCTGAGCTAACATCTGTGCCTATCTTCCTCCACTTTATATGGGACACCGCCACAGCATGGCCTGACAAGCGGTGCGTCAGTGCAAGCCCGGGATCCGAACCTGGGCCGCCAGCAACGGAACGCACGCACCTAACCGCTATGCCACAGGGCCAGCACCAGCCCTTCAGTCTCTTACTATGACCATCCCTGTCCCAGCAAAGCTGCTGAATTCTCCCAAATATAGTATTCTACTCTCAATGCCATGACTCCTTGCTCCTCTCACCCACAGGTGGCAAGTTATGGGGTGAAGCCAAAATATGGTTTAGTGACATATGCCACAGTCCCCAAGATTTTGATCAGAGTGTCCGAAGACAAGAGCAGCGATGCAGACTGGGTCACAGAGAAGCTCAATGAAATCAGCTATGAAGGTCAGAGGTCAGGGAAGGGAATGGTGGGAGGTTCACTTTGGGGTCAGAGAGGCCAGAAGGTTCAGGGGTGTTGTGGGAAGCAGGTAGTGAGACCACGTGTGCGGGCAGGGAGGACCACTTTGAAGTCCGTGGTTGGACAGCAGGGTCACGGGAGAATGGCAGTTAGTGGGAACCCGTTGGGGCAGAGAGGGTCACTTTGTGGTCAAAGGGAAGTCAGTGGAGTGATGATCAACTTAAAAAGTTGAAAGATGTAGGATCTCAGTTGCTGATAGGCCTCTGGGGTTCTGGGATGGCTTGAAAGACTGGGTGAGGTGATGATCTTTTCCCTTTCCACAGATCACAAATTAAAGGCAGGAACTAACACCAAGAGGGCCCTCCAGGCAGTGTACAGCATGATGAGCTGGGAAGGGAATGTCCCCCCTGAAGGCTGGAACCGCACCCGCCATGTCATCATCCTCATGACTGATGGTCAGAAGGGACCTGTCTCCTGCCCTAAACTCCCCACCCTCTCCTACCAATGTCTGGCCCATAAGTCCACATGTAACACTAGATTCACAGTTGAGGCCCCGAGCGCTGCTTAGGGCCCCAACTGTGTTGATCTTTCCTGTGACCCTTTTTAAGGAGGGACCCTTTTCCTTAGAGCTGTGATCTGTCACTACCATCCCCATACCCAGCCATGTGTGTCACTACTTCTAGCCAATTTATCTTCCTTGACCCTCTTCCTTTGTTGCTTCCCACCTTCATGGTCCCTATCTCTTCCGCAGGCTTGCATAACATGGGCGGTGACCCAGTCACTGTCGTTCATGAGATCCGGGACTTGCTGGACATTGGTAGGGATCGCAAAAACCCAAGGGAGGATTATCTGGGTGAGTTTTATCGTCCAGGGCCCAGCATCCTGCTTTCTCAGCTCCTGCCTCCCAGGGCCTAGGCCCTCACTCTCCCCTTTTCTCCCTCAGACATCTATGTGTTTGGGGTTGGGCCTCTGGTGAACCAAGAGAACATCAATGCTTTGGCTTCCAAGAAGGATAAAGAGCAACACGTGTTCAAAGTCAAGGACATGGAAAACCTGGAGGATGTTTTCTTTCAAATGCTTGGTAGGAAGATATCAGAAGGATATAGGAGATGGTCAGGAAACTCAGCTCTCCCCAAGTCCCACAAAGTCACTCATTCTTTCTCTCTCCCTGAAGCCCCGGCAGTCTGGAAGGCCTTTCTCATTCCTCTTCTCTATCTATCTCAGTGTCACTATTCTTGTTTTCTGGCACTGCCCACTTCCTTAGAATCAAAGAGCTCTGAACGACATCAGGGATCTTTCTCAAGTCCCTCATTTTACGGATGTGGAAATTGAGGCCAATAGAGGTAGAGAGACAGCGAGCTAGCAAGCGTTGGACCTGAAAACAGCCATCTTAGAAACTCCAATCTTAGTCCTGAGTTCTTTTCACTATACCACAGGGGTTCTTTGCCCTTAATACAAGGAACCAAATGCCCCTGCCTTTCCTTTCCTCCTTATGGACCTCTGCTGCCCACAGACACGTAGGCATCCCTCCCCAAAAGGCTGCTGCCATTTGGAAATGAAGTGTCCCAGCTTTCAGCACATTCTCCTCCCTTGGCAGATGAAACCCGGACTCTGGGTCTCTGTGGCATGGTTTGGGAGCACAAGAAAGGTACTGATTACCACAAGCAACCGTGGCAGGCCAAGATCTCAGTCACTGTAAGCATAGCATCCTGGTGGCGGGGATTTGTGGGAGGTGAGGTCAGGGTGAAATGGGGGCAAAGGAAGGGCAAAATGTTCATACTAGATGGTCGTGGTCACGAAAGCTGAGCTTTCCCCCTCTGCTGTTCTGTTCCCAGCGCCCTTCAAAGGGACACGAGAACTGTATGGGGGCTGTGGTGTCTGAGTACTTTGTGCTGACAGCGGCACACTGTTTCATGGTGGATGACCAGATACACTCAATCAAGGTCAGCGTGGGTAAGGATGCAACCAATCAACCCTGAGAGCTCCAGCCATGCCCTCTGGGCAACACCTCCCACTTTCTCAAGATCGCACACTCCACCTGTCCTCAACGCAGCCCCCTCCTTTGCACACTGGAACAGTTAGGAATGGGGAAGACTTGGAGTTAGGGATGACACGGGGCCAGAGGCAGGAGGCTGGCCACAGAGAAGTGGGTAATCTAGAGGTGCCCACTCTCCTCCCACCTCAGGAGGGAACAAGCAGGACTTGGAAATAGAAGAGGTCCTATTTCACCCCAACTACAACATCAATGGGAAAAAAGCAGAAGGAATTCCTGAATTTTATGACTATGATGTGGCTCTGATCAAGCTCAAGAAGAAGCTAAAGTATGGCGAGACTGTCAGGTGAGACATCTGGACCCGTAAGGAGAAAAGGCTGGGAAGGCGGGGCTGGAGGATTGGGGCAGGCCCAGAGCTTACCATCCCTGAGTTTCCCCATTTCTCCTTACCAGGCCCATCTGTCTCCCCTGCACCGAGGGAACAAATCAAGCTTTGAGACTTCCACGGACAACCACTTGCCAACAGCAGAGTAAGACCCACTCAGGGAGAGTAGCACAAGGGTGAGATTCTGAGACAAGTGGGGCATGACAGGGAGCTGCAGGAGGAGCAGACAAACCCTACCCAGTCCCCAGCTCGCAGAAAGGGGTTGAGGGAGTTTGCTGAGTAACAAAGGCAACGGAGAGACTGCGGGGAGAGTGCTGACATGATCCAGTCTGTCCATTTGTTCAGTGCAAGAACTGCTCCCTGCAAAGGATATCAAAGCTCTGTTTGTGTCTGAGTTGTCCAAGGATGGGAAGAAGGTACTGGTTCGGAAGGAGGTCTACATCAAGAATGGGGAAAAGGTGAGGAACGTGGGATCCTAAACAGGTCCTCTAGGCCCCCATTCCTCAGAAGCCAACTTTGTTCATCACTCTTCTCCACGCTTCCCACCTCGCCTACAGAAAGCCAGCTGTGAGAAAGATGCTCAATATGCCCCAGGCTATGACAAAGTCAAGGACATCTCTGAGGTGGTCACCCCCAGGTTCCTTTGCACTGGAGGGGTGAGTCCCTACGCTGACCCCAACACTTGCAAAGGTGAGAAAAGCCTCTTTGGTTGTGCTGCAAGTTCCTGAGGCCCAAGAGTCTTTTCCCCTACAGCTTTTCCTCCCCTGTAGGTGACTCTGGTGGCCCCCTGATTATTCACAAGAGGAGTCGCTTCATTCAAGTGAGTTTCCCCCTTTCTATCTGTGAGGAGATGCCAATTGGTCAACATGGGCTCCAAAGCAGGGAAGCTCAATGCATGTGGCTGGAAAAGGGAGGGCAGAACTTCCCTCACCTTAGGACTATTTCTTGAACTGGTTGGCTTAGGGCCATGTGTCTGGCCTGTGTGCTAGAGAGGACAGGACTGAGCTGGGTTCCTAGTCTAATTCTTCTAGGTCAGCTCAGATGCAACCGGGAGTAGCTGTACTTCCTGGGAGTAAGAAGGAATTCTACCAAATGATCCATGGTATCCCCTTGCCCTCTCCAGGTTGGCGTGATCAGCTGGGGTGTAGTGGATGTCTGCAAAGACCAGAGGCGGCAGCAGCAGGTACCCGCTCACGCCCGAGACTTTCATGTCAACCTCTTCCAAGTGCTGCCCTGGCTCAAGCAGAAACTCAAAGACGAGGATCTGGGTTTTCTATAAGGGGTTTCCTGCTGGCAAGGGGCATGAGACCAAATTAAAACAGCTGCGACAATACCTGTGTTCAAGATCCTTTTGGGGTGAGGGAGTGGGGAACGTGCACTGGCCATGTTGTTACAACTGAGATCAAAACAAACAGCCGTTTTTAAAGGCTCGAGCCCAAACCCAAGTGCTGAAAAACCAGAGGCAGAGGGAGATGGACGAGCTTCCACCTCAGTGTTTTACTGAGACCAGTGTTGGGGCTGATGAGGCACATGGAATCCAGCTCCATTCCCTAGAAGCCATCCACAAGGTTCTCCTTGTAGACGTCATCACTGTAGACAATCTGGGTCCTCTTGTCTCGGTGGCAACCCTTAGGGCTGTTCTGGACAGCTAGGGAGAGAAGAAAGCAGTAGTTAAGATCTGAAAAAGAGTATTGGTGAGCCCCGAGGCCGAGTCTGACCACTTCACTCCTGTCCTCTGGCCTCTGGCTCTTGGAAGCTCAGTTTCCATACTGCCCTCTGGTGGCCGGGATGACCTGTCTCCCCTTAGCCCCCTTAGGCTAGTGGCTGCCAACCCAGTGCCACTGGCAAGGAGTGTACACTGTTTCTGTGGCACATGCGGATATTGTAATTGTTTTGTTCTTAGAAAAACCCCAAATGTCATTGTTGAGACATGTGAATGATGTTAACCCTCTGCTTTTAGTCAGAACATCAAAAATTAAAAATGAGAAAAATCTCTGTAGCCCTTGACATGCTGGTCATTTCTGGTTCCTTCCTTTTGTCTGGAGGGCCACTCTTGCTCTGAACCCCTCAATCTGCCCACTCCTTTACCGGAAAATCTATTTCAGGTAAAATAGGTTATTCACACTGAGAAATGTACTTGCATCATCAGGAGAACTCAGGCGGGGTATAGCTTTGGCCCTAAGCATTCTCCCTTGAGCCTTGAGCTGTTCCTTCCCCTTCCTCTTTACTCCCGACACTTGATGTGTCCTTCTCGTCACCCACCTTCAAGGATTCCATCCCTGCCACTCTGGGGCTAGAATGAATCTCCCCCGACCAGCTCCCATTCTTTTGGATCTTTGTACCTTGACCCTGCTGACCATTCCCTTCTCCTCCAAGCTCTTCCTCGATCACTGCAGTGGCCCAGGCCCCTCTGATGCTGCTCCCAGCCCTCTGATCCCTTATTTTATCTCCTTCGCTGCATCCTCAACTTCAGCCTAACATGTCAGGAGGGCTGGGGACATGCAGGGCACAAGGAACACAGCCCTGCTTCCTAACATATTCCCTGAATATTCCCCAAGTCCAATTCTAGGTCATTTTTTTCTCCAAATTCAGTCTCCCCTGAAGATACTATCGTTTTGCAGCCACCTCATGATGTAGATGACTCTAATCTATGTTTTCATTCCTCATCTTCCACCTAAGTACCAGATCCCTTATTTCAAATGCTTATTTTATAAAACCAACTACGTTCCATCTCAAAATGAACAAGGCCACATGAGATGGTCATCTTCCTCACTAACTTGACTCTGGCTTCCACTTGCTTCCTCGTTCCAGTGATTGCCTTGGGAGTCGTTTTCAATCCTTTTCTCTCCTTCTTCAACTACCTCTAACTGACAGAGGGCCTGACAATTCTCCTTCCCATTCCCACAGCCTCCACACAAATCCAGATCTCTATCACCTCTGGGAAACCCAGGGACATGCAGGGGGAACAAAAAGAGAGGGTGAGCTCTGGGGGACAGGATGAGGGAGGAAGAATCCCACTCTTACCGAGGGAGCCCCAGACAGACTTGCCAGTGGCGGCGTCCAGCATGGGCTGTTTGCGGGCGATGCTGACTTTGAGCTGTACAGACTCCACCTGGGTCCCATTGAGCTGAGGCAGAATAGGGGAGGGGGCAGAGGACGTGGGGGAACATTACAGACAAACCAAAGAAGGATTTCTAGGAGTTGCCATCCTAGCAGTAGACTGAATAGGGATCTAAGAATTTAAGGTTTCCTGCATGAACAGGGAGAGACTTTCTCTGTCAAGAGGAAGTAATTTCCTCTTGGTTCTCAGTATTTTAAAGAGAAAACATGAGGATAGCAGGAGTAGCAGGAGGAACGGGAAGAACGGATCTGGGAAGTCCCAACCTCAGCAACAGCCTGATCTGCTGACTCCATCTTTTCATAGGTGACGAAGGCACAGCTGGGACGAGAGAAAACATGGTCAGTAGAGGGCCTATGGGCTCTTCTGGACCCAACCCAACCCACTACTAATAGGCTGCTGGAGACAGGCTGGCTTCCCCAGGTCTCACACCCCAGCTCCTCCAGGACTTATCATCTTGCCCTGTTGTCATTCTTACTTTCTGGGTGGGTCCATGGAGAGGTCAATGATGTTTCCAAAGGGAGAGAAGGCCCCCCGGAGGAGGGCAGGTGTCATGTCTTCTCCGTACACATACAGAGTATTCCCCTTCCGAGGGGCCCGGCGTTCAGGGAACGAGTCCGACCCTATGGGATTAGGAACCACAGTCAAAAGATGTGCCCATCTCACCCTCCACTTTAAGAGTCCACTTTAGTAGGACCCACCTAAACCCCACCTGAGATCACTTTCCCCACCAGCTGAGATGACTCACTGCGGAAAGGGCCCTCTCGGTCGCGATCCCGATCCCTGTCTCGATCCCGATCCCTGTCTCGGTCTCGGTCCCTGTCCCGATCTCGATCACGGTCTCTGTCCCGCTCACGGTCCCGGTCCCGATCCCGATCTCTGTCTCGATCCCGTTCCCGGTCTCGGTCTCTGTCTCGGTTCCGCTCACGACTGCGGTCCCGGCTGCGGCTTCGGGGAGGGGAGGCTGAGGAATGGGCACCACCACGTTCTTCATAGCCCCAGTCAAAGCTTCGAGGGGGGCCATCACCAGCCCCTGGGCCCTCTGCCTCCTCCCCATCTGGTCCCAGTTCCCGAAGTCGGTCACTGGAAGACACAAAGCTGGGGAGAGGCAGACAGTGAGGATCAAAGGGGGCCTTTACCACATCATCCCAGACTCCGGGGAGACACAACATTCCTTCCACAGCCCTGGCTCCTCCCACTCCAGCCCCAAACCTCCCAAGAACCCAGACAATCAACCCTCCCAACCCCCTGTCCCCAACAACTGGGACCCACTCCTATATCCAACTCTAACCTCTCATACAGAGATTTCCTCTGGGGACGTCTGGAGGACTGAAAAAGAGACCAAGGAGAGTTAAGATAATTCCTAGTTGCTGGCATGTGGCCCAAAATGTGGGTCTCTCATCTTCCTCAATCCCTAGCCCTCAGGGACAGAGAATGGAGAACCATTACCTCCTGCAGATCATCGTCCGCAGATATGCTCCTCTGGAACGGCTGGAAAGTGGGGACTGGCCCCTTCTCAGGGTCCTGGGAAGGTGGTAGAGATCTACCTCAGTGTGGGAGCAAGAGGCTGCCTAACCACTGGACAAACGGGGTTCCTCTTCCCTCACCCTCTTCTTGACTTCCTCTGGCCTATCATTTTTTTTTGTGAGGAAGATCATCATCCGATGGATTGGCTAACATCCGATGCCAATCCTCCTCTTTTTTGCTGAGGAAGACTAGCCCTGGGCTAACATCCGTGCCCATCTTCCTCTACTTTATACGGGACACCGCCACAGCGTGGCTTGACAAGCGGTGCATTGGTGCGTGCCGGGATCAGAACCTGCGAACCCCAGGCCACCAAAGTGAAGCATGTGCACTTAACCACTGCACCACCAGGCCAGCCCCTTTTTTTTCTTTTAATTCTTGTACATTTCTTCCTTGAGTACATGGTTTTTATAAATGACCTAATATACACTTAAAGTATTTAGTTCATCTGAACATCTCTTGAACCTGATGACATTTTCAGTCTGTTCAACTCAGAGTAACACAACCCAACAGCTCTAATACACGGTGGAATAAACCCATAGAATGTGTAAAATGGAGAAGAATTTAGAAGTCATCCAGTTTCTTCATTTTATAGATAAGAAATCTGAAGCTCAGAATAGTATAGCAATTTGCCCACGATTGAACAGGTGTTACTTTTTCCCTAAACCTACCTCCATTCCAACTTGGAGGGATGTTCTTTGAAGTCAAGGGTCCCCTGAACAATCTTTCTGCTTGTGCTCACCTTTAACTTCCCCTCTAGGGTTCGAGAACGTTTGAAGCCCGAGTTCTTGGTCTCAGCCTTGATGGCACTGATGGCTCCTGACTTCACCAGCTGCTTTGCCTGCTCTGTTGCCGTGGCTGTGTCCACCACAGGCTGCTCTGACAGTGCTGGAGAGGCGAGGGAAAGAGGCATTACGTTGGTCAGGCTGTGACAGAGGTCAGACCAGTGCTGCCCACTTCCAGTTTATCTCCGTCTCCCCTGTCACTCACAGCGTTTGACACCGCCTTGGCTGGTTGTGCTGCTGCTACTTTGCTTCTTTAGAGCCAGCAATGCCTTTTTCTGGGAACAAGAGTGAGAAGAGAGGGGTCAGTGAGGGCCAGGTCCTCTACCAAGGCTCCTGGGCATATCACACCAGGGGACATCTTTCTCAGAGAAAACAATGCAGATGGTGCCCCTGGAGTGGTACATCGAGGCAGCCCTGCCTCTCACATATGGTCCCCCAGATGATCTACAATACCAGTAACACCTAATCTATCCAAACCACGGTATCCAAAGGCTCTCGGGGTCTCATGTTTTTGAAGCTGAAGACAAAGAATTCAATCATGGACCAGAGCCCCAGGATATAAGCTGTAAGTAAGTATAAACCTAAGTGCCTTTCCTGAGGATTTCATCCATCCATCGCCTGTATATTTAACGAGGACATGCCATTACTTTGTAACAGGGATACGTAAAAATATGAGATGTAGTTCCTGCCCTCAAGAAGTTTACAGTCTGAGAAATAAAATGACTACACCAAACTGTCAAGAATGATTATAAGAGGTTAGGGCTGGCCCCGTGGTGTAGTGGTTAAGTGCGCGTGCTCCGCTACTGGCGGCCTGGGTTCGGATCCCGGGCGCGCACCGACGCACCGCTTCTCCAGTCATGCTGAGGCCGCATCCCACATACAGCAACTAGAAGGATGCGCAACTATGACATGCAACTATCTACTGGGGCTTTGGGGAAAAAAAAAGGAGGAGGATTGGCAATAGATGTTAACTCAGAGCCAGTCTTCCTCAGCAAAAAGAGGAGGATTAGCATGGATATTAGTTCGGGGCTGATCTTCCTCACAAAAAAAAAAAAAAAAAAAAGAATGATTATAAGAGGTGCAGATGGCTTGCAGCTGAGAACAAGTAAGATGTTCTGATGCCAAATGGCTATTAAACTGCGCCCTGGATAGAATCTGCAAAACACTGATTGAGATGAAAAAGCATTTTAGACAAAGAACAGGGTGGCAAAGATGCAGATAAGAAGAGGCTTTGGGAATGCATATTTTGGGACTAGTGAATGGTTCTATTTCACTAGAAAGGAATGCCAAGTTAAAGCTTTGTTCTATAGACAATGCGAAACCACTTATGAGTTTTGACAAAAAGGACAGAGTTTTTTGTTTTCAGTGGATCATTCTGATAGGAGTGAAGAAGTCTGTCCTAAAACAACACTGAGACACTTGTTGAGAGACCATTACAAGAGTCTAGGTGAGCATCAGCAAAGACCTGATCTATGGAATACACAGAAAAACATAAATGGGAGAAATTACTTCAAGGGAAGAATCAAGAAGACTTGGCAAATGTTTGGCTATGCAAATTGTGGAGGAGTGTGGAGGAGTCAGAGACGAGATTTTAATTCCAAACACACGGGAGAACTGAACGTGGTGAGTCCTATCTGGAAGATCAAGTAAAGGAACTAGATTTGAATAGATAGGAAGATGACAGTTTCAATCTTGGATAACTGAAGGTTATCAGTAAGACACAGGATGGAACTGGAAAAACCAAACTTGGGGATGACCAGGTCTTAGGTGGTAGTAAAAGCCATGGGAAAGAAAGATAACTCCATGGCACACTGCATAGAAAAGAGAGAGGTACACACCAAGACTTGGGAAAAGCCCACCTCTGAAGCTCCACTGAGAGGTGACAGTCTCCAGGTATGAGCTGGAAAAACCCCCCCATCCCCTCACACTCACCCCAGGAGTTCTCAGAGTGCAGAGTCTGTGAAAGGTTGGGCCATGCCCACACACACTCCCTCACCTTTTTCTTGAGTTTGTTGAATTTCTTCTGCAGAGCCTCCTCCTCCTCGCTCAGTCCGGGGGGTATCACCAACATGGTGGCTCCTGGTTCAGGGGCAGGGCCCAAGACATCTTTCTCCACTGTCACCGCCCAGGGTCCACACGCCATCCACACTGTACCCAATCCCATCCCTCCAGGCCTGCCTACTCCTGTCTTTTGCCTCTCCCTACCCCTTGCTTAAACCAGACTGCTGTCCAAGCCGCCGTTCGTCGGGATCACCGGCATTCCCGCCTCTCTTCAGAAATCACGGACACCACCGCCTTGGGGCACCACGTGGCCCGGGAAGGGAGAAACACCCCCTCCGTCGCCAAAACGATGGCACCAGAACCCCCTACCCCCGCTGGGGTTAGTATGGCAACCGCGGGGTCCGAACGGTAGAGGCGGCAGTGGAACCCGCGCAGCATTCTCAGAGCAAGGAAAAAGGTAAGAAGAGAGAAGGAGGTCGGAGGAAAGGGGCGAAGGGTAAGAAGGAAAAGGCCTTACCTGAGGGGGCGGCAACCGGGGCCCCACAGTCTCGGGCGGCGCCCGCGCGGGCAGCGGATCGCGGGCTCAGAGCGATGACGTAGCGAGGGGCGGAGAACGCGGTAACCAAGGCGGCCCAGACGTAGACACTTCCGTCCTGCCTTCTACGAGCTTAGGTCAGCCCCTCAGTAGCACTTATCCACGCCCCCGGCGGGGTGTGTGCCGGAAGTCGCTTCCACTTCCGCCCGTTCCGGGGCGGGGCTTACCTCACTGCTCCTCGCTGCACTTCCGGGCTGGCCGGCAGCTGCCGTGGCTCCAGGATGATGGAGACGGAGCGACTCGGTGAGGGGGAGTGGGTGGACCGAAGGAGTAGACAAGGAATGACCCTTGACCCCTGACCTCTCACCTTTCCCCTGTAGTGCTGCCTCCCCCAGATCCCCTGGACCTGCCCCTTCGGGCCGTGGAGGTGGGATGCACTGGGCGCTGGGAGCTGCTGAATGCGCCTGGGGCTCCAGAGAGCACCGTGAGTGACTTTTAACCCTAACTCTTGACCTGCATTGAGCTTAAAACCTTCTCCACCCTCCTCACAGTAGGATCTAGCATGACCTTGCTCTCCTGTCCCTGGACACCTGTCATCCGAGCCCGGACTGGTGGTGGACAGACCTCAGCCTAGTGGACCTGCTGTAGGTTAGAGCCCATGTGAGGACAGAGCAGGGAGCGCTGGGGACACCTTAGCTCTGAGAACTGCTCTTTCAAATGTGTCTTTTCTCCTTGGAGTCCCCTTCTGTCTCCAAGCACCAGGGCACTTGGTGGCTGCGACGCTAGCCTTTGAGCCCCTGACTCTTCATTCTTAGGTCTGTGATCCTTTTTCCTAAAACCAGTGATTCTCAAATTTCAGTGTGCCTCATGATTAGTAGGGGAGCTTTTTTAAAATACAAATTCCGAGGTCCAGCCCTAGAGATTTTGAAATCCAAAATCAAAATCCAAAATTATTAACCAGCACCCCAGGTAATTCAGTAGCAGGTAGTTTGTCCTGTAAAGCAGGACAACCAATGGAAAATATTGTTTCGCCTGATGGTCCTAGTCTGTCCGGGACATCTACCGTTTCTGATCTAAACATGAATCCCATCACCTTCTCTTCTGTCTGTGTCTTCCTCTTTTTCCTTACCTAATGCCTCTCATCCTGCCCTTGTTCCAGCTTCCCCATGGTCTCCCTCCCTGTGCCCCAGATCTGCAGCAAGAGGCAAAGCAGTTGTTTCTATCATCGCCAGCCTGGCTGCCTCTGCATGGTGTGGAGCACTCAGCCCGGTGAGGGGTCTGGAGGGGCCTGGACTAGGGAGATGGATCCCTGAAGGAAGCTGGGACAGAGGAGAAAGAAGACCTGAAAATTACTTTCCTTCTCTCCAGAAAATGGCAGAGGAAGATGAATCCCTGGTCTCTCCTGTCTGCCTTGGGGGCCCCAGTCCCCTCCGACCTACAGGCTCAAAGACACCCAACCACAGGCCAGATACTGGGCTACAAGGAGGTAAGAGGTCAGGGGCCATGAGAAGCAGAGTTGGGAAAAGGGGGGTCGAAGGCAAGCTCAGCCTCACTGGAGCTCTGATCTCTTGCTTCAGGTCTTGCTGGAGAATACAAACTTGTCGGCCACGACCTCCTTGTCTCTTCGCCGGCCCCCAGGGCCTATCTCCCAGTCCCTGTGGGGGAATCCAACTCAGTACCCTTTCTGGCCAGGTGACTCTTGTGGAAATGAGATGGTAGAAGAAGGAGCCCTCAGTCTCCAGGGAAGGGTTCCCCACTCATACCATATCACCCCCACCCCATGAATCCCTATTTGTCCAATCTCTCCCCAGGTGGAATGGATGAGCCCACCATAACAGATCTGAGCACTCGGGAGGAGGCTGAGGAGGAGGTAGACTTTGAGAAAGGTGAGGTGGTGCCAGGATGGATCCTTTGGAGGTAGGGCTCTGAGTCTGGGCCATGAGGAAAAGGGGCCCAGGCCTGTCACTGGGCTGCTGCTAGCCCTTCCATGCCTTTGAGAAAATTAGGAAGAAGTACCCCTTTCATAACAACCTTTATTGTCATCTTTTGGAAAATTGTCACAACAAATATCCCATCTACAATGCCTGTGCTGTGAATGGCGCCCTTTAGGTTTGTGTAATGTATGACCTGCACAATACTCTGCAGTAGCTCTGATTCTTTCTCTCTGTCCCTGTCCTTCAGATCTTCTTACTGTTCCACCCGGCTTCAAGAAAGGTGTGGACTTTGCACCAAAGGGTGAGTTTTAGTTTGGAGATGGGGGCGTAGAAAGAAGTGGTGCCCTTCCCCTATAGAAGACAGATGGCCATGACCAGGTTTCCCTTTTGCCTTGCTCCTCAGATCGCCCAGCTCCAGCTCCCGGGTTGCTCAGCCTCAGCCGTCTGCTGGAGCCGCTGGATTTGGGTGGGGGCGATGAGGATGAGACTGAGGCAGTGGGACAGCCAGGAAGTCGCAGAGGGGACACTGTTTCAGCATCTCCCGGCAGTGCTCCCCTTGTCCGAGCAAGCAGCTTGGAGGACCTAGTGTTGAAGGTTGGTGATTTTTGGAAGGTTGAGGAAGGAAAGAAGGGGCCTTGCCACATGGAGGGTGGGCTTGGTGGGTCTAAGGGGAAGACTGGAGCGTCTTTTGGGAGGAGTGGTAATGGAGAGCTCTCGGCTGTATCTTTATCACTCCTACCTCCAACTTTTGCAGGAAGCGTCCACAGCTGTATCCCCCCCAGAGCCCCCCAAGCCCCCACCTCAGGAGCAGTGGGCCATTCCTGTGGATGTCACCTCCCCTGTTGGTGATTTCTACCGCCTCATTCCCCAGCCAGCCTTCCAGGTAGTGTGGCCCAGTCCTCACATGCTCCCCCACCTCCTCTCAGCCCACTTTCTTGGCTTCTCTCCCCGCCAGAGGCCAGATGCCTTTCAGGCCGGTCTTGGACCTCAGTCTCAGCCTCGTCTTGCTCTGGCCTTCTCCCCTCCTCCCTGCATGCCCCAGGAGCCAGAGGCAGGAAGACCCCTCTCCCTTCTTCAGCCCCCATCTATTTCTGTCTCCCACAGTGGCCCTTTGAGCCAGATGTGTTTCAGAAACAGGCTATCCTGCACTTGGAACGGCATGACTCAGTCTTTGTCGCGGCTCACACATCTGCTGGGAAGACAGTTGTGGCTGAATATGCCATTGCCCTTGCCCAGAAACACATGACGCGGTACAGGTCCCCTCTCCAGCCTCCCCTTCACCAGCCAGCCCTGTTTTCTCCTGCATCCTTTCTAAGTCTTGTCTCTTCCCCACTTCTCTACCTCATCCTTTAGATGAGAGGTTCGGGGGAGAAACAGGCCTAGAGAGAAATGTGAAGGTGTGGGGAGAGATATTAGAAGAATGACCTGCACTTGTATAGGAAGGAGTTGGGTGACAGAATTTTTCTGGGGTCATATCATGAAGGAGAATGTGAGGGCAGTTTGGGTGATGAAGGGGGCACTTGAGCTCTGGGGCATGCTTCTAGGAGGGCTCAAGGTGGGAGAGGAGGTAGTGACCACCAGTCTGTGTGGAGGGACTGGTTAACTTCATGCACTGCTCTTCCCAGGACCATCTACACTTCACCCATCAAGGCTCTGAGCAACCAGAAGTTCCGAGACTTCCGAAACACATTTGGGGATGTGGGACTGCTCACTGGGGACGTGCAGCTGCACCCAGAGGCCTCCTGCCTCATCATGACGACAGAGATCCTTCGGTGAGAAATGGGCACTCAACACGGGTGGATTTTTTGTCAAGAAGATGAGGATGCTCTAGAGAGCATGTTAGCTGAGGAGAGGGTGGAGACAGAAGCCACTGGGGAGTGAGCCTTCGGTTTCTTCTCTCCAGCTCCATGCTGTACAGCGGCTCGGATGTCATCCGGGACCTGGAGTGGGTCATCTTTGATGAGGTTCACTATATCAATGATGCTGAGGTAAGGAGCATGGGGTCCATGGGGTCCCCAGATCCCAGCAATCCTCTTCTGTGGGACTAGTTTAGCAGCTCCCCTATTCCACACACCCTGGAACCTCACTGCCTTCTTTGCCCCAAATGGAACCCTGTACCCCTTCCCTAGGAGCAGAAGGAGACCCCCTCTGAGCTTCCCCTGACTTGTCTTCCCTCTCTCTGCCCAGCGTGGGGTCGTGTGGGAGGAGGTGCTCATCATGCTCCCTGACCATGTCTCTATCATCCTTCTGAGTGCTACCGTCCCCAATGCCCTTGAATTCGCTGACTGGATTGGGTGAGACATGCATCCTGGGGTGCTTGGGTGAAGGGGGCTGTAGTATTCCTTGGTTGGGGTTGGGGGTGAAGACCACCACAGCAGGGAGAGTGGTCAGGCCATGGGGGTGGGGAAGACAACAGGGTGGAGCTGGGGAACATGTCCGACTGGCAGCTGTGAGATCTACTTGGGCCCAGATCACTGTGCATGTTGAGAGATGGGATGACAGGGACAGTCTTCCAGTCTGGCTCCCAGAAAAAACTGGGTGAAGCCAGAGGCGGGGAAGGTGGTGGGGAGGTGGGTTCCTTCCTGAACTCCCACCCCTGACCTACTGTCTTCTCCTCCCCACTCAGGCGACTGAAGCGTCGCCACATCTATGTGATCAGCACTGTCGCTCGCCCTGTCCCCCTGGAGCATTATCTCTTCACGGGGAACAGCCCCAAGACCCAGGGGGAGCTCTTCCTGTTGCTGGACTCCCGAGGCGCCTTCCACACGAAGGGGTAAGCTGGAGACGGAGGAGTCAGGGCTGGCCCAGCTGGGTGTGACTGTAATCGCCGCCCTCCCCTGCCCCAGGTACTATGCAGCTGTGGAGGCCAAGAAGGAGCGGATGAGCAAGCACGCCCAGACGTTTGGGGCCAAGCAGCCCACGCATCAGGGGGGACCTGCACAGGTGAGAACTGGCAGGCTTCCTACCTGCCACCACCTGTTTCTCCCCTGCCCTTTCTTCCCTCATCACCCAGGGGTCTGGACTTGAGCTCTGAGCACTACCGGATTTGACGCTGCTTCACCTCCCCCCACTCTGGCCCCCACTGGTTCAGGGACTCAACCTCAGCCACTTTCCCAGGACCGCGGCGTGTACCTGTCTCTCCTGGCCTCCCTCCGCACCCGTGCACAGCTGCCCGTGGTGGTGTTCACCTTCTCCCGGGGCCGCTGTGATGAGCAGGCCTCGGGCCTCACCTCCCTTGACCTCACCACAAGTTCAGAGAAGAGTGAGATTCACCTCTTCCTGCAGCGCTGCCTCGCTCGCCTCCGTGGCTCTGACCGCCAGCTACCCCAGGTGTGGAGGGGGGACTTGGAGACTGGTGGGGATAGGGTGTTCCACGGCCCCGTCTCTGACCATGGGCCTCGGCCCACCGCAGGTTCTGCACATGTCAGAGCTCCTGCACCGCGGCCTGGGCGTCCACCACAGCGGCATCCTGCCCATCCTCAAGGAGATTGTGGAGATGCTCTTCAGCCGCGGCCTGGTCAAGGTGCCCGTGCTGGTGGGAGAGGGACTCCCCAGGGCACTCATTGCCCTCTTAGGGGCTGCCCAGAGGGTGGAGGGGCAGGGCTTTAGGCAAGACAGTGCAGTAGTTAAGAACTTGGGCTCTGGATCCAGACTGCCTGGGTGTGAATCCCAGCTCCACCACTGACTCACTGTGGGATCCTGGGCAAATTACTTAACCTTCCTGAACTTTAGGTTTTCTGTCTTAAAATGTGGATGCATAAGATATGAACAGGCAGTGTTCAGAAGAGAAACCCAAAAAGCTAGCAAGCACATGAAAAGTTATTAGTCATCAGAAAAATGCAAATTGAAATTCTCATGAGATATGACTTTACAGCTTCTAGACTGGTAAAATTTAGGAAACTGGCTATTGCCAAGTGTTGTCAAAGACACAGGAGACTGTAGGATTATAGGACCCCTCATACAGGTGTAGCCAGTTTGGAGTGCACCTTGGCACTCTTTAAAAAAATAAGTACAACATACACTTTGATCCTAAATTCCATTCCTGAATATATACCGCAAAGAGGTTCTCACGCTGGTCCATGAGGGAATGTGTCTGCTCTTCCTTTGTTGGCTGTAATCTTGTGGCAGGGTGTTGGTGGTTCCAAGGTGCCCTACACTGGGAGAGCAGGCAGGTAAATGTAGGGGATGCACCCTACAGAGTGTTCTGCAACAGTTGGAAACAAGTGGATTAGATATAACCACAGGAACATGGATGGATGTTGAAAACACTGTGTGGAGGAAAAGTAGTAAGAAAACAGACGAGATATGTAACTACCTTTACTGTGATTTGTAAATTATGTGCACACAAAACAACACACATTCTGCAAGGATGTATTCACACAGAAAGATACTCATTAAATACATCGGGATGATTGACACTGGGGGGATGGGAGCGAGATATGGGGGTAAAAGGAAAGAAACAGGTAGCGAAATAAATAAAGTGAGGAAAATGATAGTACCTACTCTGTGGATTTGCCTTGCGAGTTAAATGAGATCCTGCAAGTTGACCATCTGAGACCATGCCTGGTGCCTACTTAGCCTTGGCTACAAGGTAAGGTGCACTTGGCGAGGGCTGGGCATCTGTGTAGCCCCTTCACTGATCCTCTCTTCCCCTGTCCCAGGTCTTGTTTGCCACAGAGACCTTTGCCATGGGTGTAAATATGCCGGCCCGAACAGTGGTGTTTGACTCCATGCGCAAGCACGACGGCTCCACCTTCCGGGACCTGCTCCCTGGGGAGTATGTACAGATGGCAGGCCGGGCAGGGCGGAGGGGCCTGGACCCCACAGGCACCGTCATCCTGCTCTGCAAGGGCCGTGTGCCCGAGATGGCGGACCTGCACCGCATGATGATGGTGAGCTGGTGGTGGCGGGGAGGGCCCTGGCTCTGGGGACCTACTGGATTCTCTCCTCCAACCCTCTTCCCCTCTCTTTTCTTTCTACTTTTTTTCTTTTGCCTGGGAGAAGCCAAGGTAGGAGTGAGCAAATCTGAGGATGAGACTGGATCTCATCTCCTCTAGTCTTTTTCTACTGTGATTACAGAGCTAGATGGGACCTTTGATAGTCTACTTAGTTTCACCCCCTTATTTTGCAGAGAAGGTGAGCAAGCAGTTTGTCTAGGGTCTCATGGTTGCAGAGCTGGGACTAGATCTGCTGGGAGGAGAGCTAGTCCCCAGAGGGCTGGCTGGGGAGCAGCAGGTCCACCCTGATCTCCCCGACTTCTCTGACCCGGCCCAGGGGAAGCCATCCCAGCTGCAGTCCCAGTTCCGCCTCACGTACACCATGATCCTCAACCTGCTGCGGGTGGATGCCCTTAGGGTGGAGGACATGATGAAGAGGAGCTTCTCTGAGTTTCCATCCCGAAAGGACAGCAAGGTGGGGAGGTTGGGGTGACCAGCATGGGTCAGGAGGTTGGACAAAGGAAGCCAGACTGGGAAGAGGTGGGCATCTAGAGGCCAGTGGGGTGAAGGTGGGGTCATGGCAGACTGGGTCTGAAGACTTGTTTCACACCTCCTCCTGCTTCTGCCCAGGCCCATGAACAGGCTCTTGCTGAACTGACGAAGAGGCTGGGGGCCTTGGAGGAACCTGACACTACTGGCCAACTGGTTGACCTGCCTGAGTATTACAGCTGGGGGGAAGAACTAACAGAGACCCGGGGCCTGATCCAGGTGTGTGAGTGTGTGTGAGTGCTGGGGGGTGACGGAGGAGGGCAGGAAGAGAATGTGACCATCTGGGTACTCCTGAACCTAGTCCCAGTGCCTGTGACGCTTCCTCCCTTACCCCCTTTGTGTACATCCCTGCTCTTCAGCAACGCATCATAGATTCTGTGAATGGGCTGAAATCTCTCTCGGCGGGAAGGGTAGTGGTTGTGAAGAATCAGGAGCATCACAACGCATTAGGTGTGATCCTGCAGGTGAGGGCAATGGGAATTTGGACCCCGGAGGGAGGAAGGAAGGAGCGAGTCCTATCTCCATCTTCCCCACTTGGCTGGGGGCAGGTTGCAGTCACCCCAGTGCTCTCATTTTCCCTCTTGCCCTCCTTTCCTTCCCACCACTGCCACTTCATGCCCACCCTCTTGTTCCCACCTCCCCAGAAGTCTGCTCTGATTGCTTGACTTGGTTACCACTGGTGGGTTGCTCCATGATGCCTGCCTGAGGGTGGTCTCTACCTTTGATGTCCACTCCTTACATCACCCTGGCCTGGCCTCTTCACCTCTCCTAGGTTTCCTCAAACTCTCCCAGCAGAGTATTCACAACCCTAGTCTTGTGTGATAAGCCCATGTCTGAGGACCCACAGGAGAAGGGGCCGGCCTCCCCTGATGTGCCCTACCCGGATGACCTCGTGGGATTCAAGCTATTCCTGCCTGAAGGTGAGAGTGGGGCAGATGTGTGGGTTCTTGACAGCAGTGCAGGCAAGATGTTTGGGTCCACGGTGAGATCTGACCCTGCTTTCCGCTTTTCACAGGGCCCTGTGACCACACTGTGGCCAAGCTCCAGCCAGGAGATGTGGCTGCTATCACCACCAAGGTGCTCCGGGTGAATGGGGAGAAGATCTTGGAGGACTTCAGCAAGAGGCAGCAACCGAAATTCAAGTCAGAGATGCTGGGGAGGCCCTTTTCCTGGGGAGGGACCATGTAATGGGGGGTAGGGAGGTGTGGCTGGGGAGGCTCCCCCAGTCTGAGGGGTGCTCTTATGGAAGAGAAGCCTCTGCCCCAGGTCTCAAGACCTGCTTCTTCCTCAGGAAGGAGCCCCCCCTGGCAGCTGTGACCACTGCTGTCCAGGAACTGCTGCGTCTGGCTCAAGCCTACCCAGCAGGACCTCCTACCCTCGACCCTGTCAATGACCTGCAGCTCAAGGATGTGTCAGTGGTAGAGGGGGGGCTCCGGGCCCGGAAGCTGGAGGAGCTGATCCGGGGGGCTCAGTGTGTGCACAGCCCCCGTTTCCCTGCCCAGGTAGGTCCCTGGATGCCAGCTCTCAACTGGGAGGAGGGCTTTTCCTCTCTGGTCCCCTGTAGACTGGCTGCCCCCATCTCAGCCCTTGTCCTCAGTGCACCCTTGCTGAGGGTGAGGAGAAGGGTAACACACTCCTGCTGGTGGCCCTCTGCAGTACCTGAAGTTGCGGGAGCGAATGCAGATACAGAAGGAGATGGAGCGGCTGAGCTTCCTGCTGTCAGATCAGTCACTGCTGCTGCTCCCTGAGTACCACCAGCGAGTAGAGGTGGGAGGGGTAGGGTCGGGGCTGGGGGGCTAATGAGGGAGAAGAGAGCAGGCTCCTAACACCCACTGTCTTTCTTCCAGGTGCTCCGAACCCTGGGTTATGTAGATGAGGCAGGCACCGTGAAGCTGGCGGGGCGGGTGGCTTGTGCCATGAGCAGCCATGAGCTGCTCCTCACTGAGCTCATGTTCGACAATGCTCTGAGCGCCCTGCGGCCCGAGGAGATTGCAGCCCTACTCTCTGGCCTGGTCTGCCAGAGCTCTGGGGACGCTGGGGATCAGCTCCCAAGCACTCTCAAACAGGTACAGGACACTCACCCCTCTCTCTCTCCCTTGGCTGCAACATTCTCAATCCCCACCCCCAGGTATTCCCCAAATGACCCCATCTAGCCCTGTAAGTGCCCCTAAGAGCTGGAATGGCTTCTTCCTTGATCTGGGCCTCCCCTGTCCTGGAACAGGAAGGCAGGTCTTAACCTCTCCTTCTCATCTGCAGGGAGTGGAACGTGTCCGGGCTGTGGCCAAGCGGATTGGTGAGGTCCAGGTGGCCTGTGGCCTGAACCAGACAGTGGAGGAATTTGTGGGGGAGCTGAATTTTGGGCTGGTCGAGGTTGTGTACGAGTGGGCCCGGGGCATGGTGAGTAATTAGGGCTTGGGGTTTTGCAGATAGCTGGTTTGGGAGAGGGCTGCCCTGGCCTACCACATTCAGTCCTCATCCTGATTCCTACATAGCCCTTCTCCGAGTTGGCAGGGCTCTCAGGGACCCCTGAGGGCCTAGTGGTCCGCTGCATCCAGCGCCTGGCTGAGATGTGTCGCTCACTGCGAGGGGCAGCCCGTCTGGTAGGTGAGCCTGTGCTAGGTGCCAAGATGGAGACAGCAGCTACCCTGCTACGGAGGGACATCGTCTTTGCGGCCAGCCTCTACACTCAGTGAATGAGCCCTGTGTAAAAATGTAATAATAAAACAGCAAACCATCTGTGTGTACTTGAGGTGTTGGGCAGGGATGACTCAGCTCAGAAGACACAGCAAGGAGAGCCACCTAGAAATATGCCTTTATCTGTGCACAGAGACAGGACCAGCCCCTCTGAAGCATCAGTCCTTGGGGGAGAGGGTCTTGGGGGGTGATGGGAGGTCCTGGGTCATGGCTTCCACGTACCACATGGGCAGGAAGGCATAGGGTGCATCTTGATGTACCGACACTGTCACTGGGCCACCAGGCTCCCAGGAGAAGAGGTGGACGAGCCTAGGGGGCAGACGGAGTCATGAGCTGAGGGCTGGAGGCTAAGCTTCTGGGACCCAGAGGGGAGGGGCAGAGGTGAATGCCTCACCTGGGGTCATCCTGGACAACTGTGTTCTGGGCAAAGCTAAGGAAGGCAGCACAGAAGTTCATGCACACGGAGGGATTCCAGCCGTCACGGTCATTCTGGAGAAGGCAGAGGAAGAGGCAGAAAACTAGTGGTGAGGGTGGGAGAAGGGAAAGGTGGACTGCAGCCCTGGACCTGTGGTCTTGGCGCAGGGGATACAGGTGGGAGCTGCAACACCACTGCCTTACCCTGACGTGTTCAAACATCTCCATGGTAGGAAAGGTCTTGAGGGAACAGACAAAACCCTCCGGGTTACGGAAGCCAGCGACAACCTTTGGGACCCCTGGGAGGAAAGACTGAGCCCACCATTTCAGGAGCTTATGTCTGTCAGGAGAGGCAAGGGGTCAGTGGGACCCCTCTTTCACCCTCCAGCCTCATCCTCTTCCCCCAAGTCCCTTTTTCAGCTATCTAGGCTCTTGCCTTGCCCACCCCCATCCTGAACCTGTAAAAGCTCCTCCATTGGCCAGGGCTGTGCATCTCCTTGGAGGTCTTGAGCTCCACATAGCAGGTGGGGGGCTGTGTGGATGGGGCCTGGGGGTCTGTGCAGTCTACCTCCCCTGAGAAGAGCAGAGGGTGGTTTCCCAGGCGGCTGCGTAGCACAGAGCAGAAGGCCACGTTGGTGTTAACTTCCCCAGAGGGGTCCGGGGAGCCTCCGGGTTTGTCTGCACAAGGAGAGAAGCAGCGGCAGGGGTGGGGGCTCTCAATCTCTGGGGAAGGAGGAGGGGGCCACAGAGCAGGGGCAACTCTCACCTGCACACATGTACTGCTCAAACTTGTATCCCATGTACATAAACTCCTGGAGAAGGGGTGGCCGGGCAAGCCTCTGAACCCGAGCAGCTGGTGTCTCTACCTCACTCAGGTACAGTGTCCCCTGGAACCGGGAGGCTGCCAGCTGCCAGCCCTCCTGCCGTTCATATGGTGTAGTCATCAATTTTGTCAGATGCCCCCGCCACGTCACTATGGCCCCTGCCAGCCAGCCTGGACCCCTGAGAGGGAGGAGTTAGAGGCTGAAGGTCTGACACAAGCATTAGCTCAGATGGCTCCCCCAAAGAATAGCCCAAGTTTCTTCTAAGGACCGATTCTCACTCCAGCTTTGGCTCTCCTAATTTTAGAGGGTAGGTGCAGGTCTCTAGATCTATTCGTGTGCCATGCTTTGCTCACCCCTCCAGCTGGCCTCGATGCTCCAGGACCCAGCGTAGCAGGTGGTCCAGCCCCTCTCGGATCTCCTCATCCCGGGGCTGGTAGTGATCAGGGTATCCATCTCTGAGGTCAAAGTTGGGGCCTTGACCATTGGTGGGAGGTGGGCTGTAGTAGCGCAGGGCTCGAGCATCTCCATGGTACTGGCGTTGTGCATCCAGGGAGAAGCAGCCCAGTTCGGAAGGGCGCCGATAGAAAGGAAACGGCCCACAGTAGAGGGCAGGGTCTGTGGGCAGTGAGGGTGCTGGGTGGCGGAGTTTGCTCCGCGGCTCAGCTACTTCTATCTTCCCAGCTCCTCTCTTGGTCCCCCTGGGCTCCATAAAGTCCTGAGGGGGTGGGTGGAAAGTTCCATTTTACAGAGGAGGTCCGGAGAAGGGGAACTCCAGGTCAGGACTAATTGAGCCTCCTGATGGCCAGGCTCTGGCCTTGCAACATGCAGGCCCCAGCCCCTCAAACAGAACCACGGCCAGGTGCACTTCTCGCCTTTCCCCTTGACCTATACCCCCACCTCCAGATCCTCCAAAGGCAGCGAGGTTAGGAAGGATGTTTGGGTTCAGTTCAAGGATCTGGTTACCTCAAAGCCGGCCAAGCTCGACTTCCACCTTCGCAGAGCTATGACGTCATGGCAGGTGGGTCAGAAGTCGAAGAGGGAGGCAAAGGTGGGTCTCCGCTCTGGATGACGCAATCATTCAGCGACAGTGGCGGGCAAACTCCTCAGGGGCGGGGGCAGGGGTGCGCTTTACATCCGGAGGTTGATCACAACGTGGCCACCGGCGTCCCTCCGCCCCGCCCACGCGGCTCCGGACGTGAGTGCTCTCGAAGGAAGCCAATCAGCAGCACACATGGGGCCTCGCCGGGCGGAGGTGGTGCTTGTATCCGTATTGGCTCCGCTCCTCCCAGTCAGGGCCTGAGAGACCGCAAGTTGACGCCTCTTTCGTCATCACGTCGACCTACTTACACAGGATCGACGGGTCTCCGAGGAGGCATGCCAAGAGCGCCCGTACGTCACTGCTCTGCGCCGGAAGACTCTTTTCGTGTTCTCTTCCCTCAACACTCTTCCCTGGCATCATAGATCCCGGGATGAGCCGGAAGAGGCATCGGCTGGTCCCGGAGACCTTTGGGTTGAAGAGGCGGCGGGAACGAGGGCCTGTGGAGGAGCATCCTTTGAGGGGCGAGTCAGGTAACCATGGCAACCTCTTAACGGCCCCAGCTGGGAGCGGCCTCGCCTCCTGTAACCATGTTTGTTGGGAGGACAGAGCCCTCATAGTCGTACCCCCGGTCCCCGCCCAGTTCACCTCTCAGTGACTGGTCTCTCCGCCCAGGGTCGGCGCGCGCGGCCGTCGCGGAGCTAGTGCAGCTGTTCCCGCGAGGCCTGTTCGAGGATGCGCTGCCGCCCATCGCGCTGAGGAGCCAGGTGTACAGCCTCGTGCCAGACCGGACGGTGGCTGACCGGCAGCTGGTGAGGGGCGTCAGAGCGACCAAGACCGACGGAAGACGCTTCCCTGCCTCGCGGGCACTCCCGAGGTCCCCCATCGCTCAGACGCTCAGTCGGTCTGCCATTCAGCCATTCACCAAGCGTTAGGTCTTTCTAGGCCACGCACTGTGCCAGGCACTGCAGGACCAAGGGGAATGCGACAGACCCTGTTAAAAGACCCTCAGGATGTCAGCTCAGGGCCGGTCTTCTTCAGCAAAAGGAGGAGGACTGGCATGGATGTTAGCTCAGGGCTGATCTTCCTCACACAAAAAAAACAAAAACAAAAAAAACGACCCTCAGGCAGTAGAGAGCATGGCAAATGGTGGAGGTGGGAGAGCGAAGCTTTTGGGGAAACTGAGTCATCGGGCGTGGTTCAGCCTACCGCGGTGGGCATGCAGGCAGACGTCAGATAACTAGAGACCTTTTGCATCAGTGTTGCTTCTGACTTAGACTGAAGGCGATGAGCTGGTAGAGAATGTTCAACAAGAGACGGAATGGTGTATTGGGTGGATTGGAGGTAATGAGGTGAGGCAGGGAGATCAGTTAGGAAGATACTGCAGCTGAGAACTGGTGAAGGCCTAAGTTAGCGCTGTGTAGTGGGGAGAGAATGGGTGAGGGAGAGAGACATGGAGAGTGGGAAGAAGGAGGAGTCCAGGATAACTCTCAGATTTTCTGGTTGACAGATTGCTAAGTGGTTGGCGGAGTGCCTAGAGTAGGGGCACATTGTGTTGTTGGGGGCAGATGATGTGTTTAATTTTGTGCAGTTTGAGTGGGAGGTGCTTGTGGAGCATCCAAAGGCAAATGAGTAGTAGACAGTTGGATAGGAGGGTGTGGAGAGAATTCTGGGCCAGTAATAGAGAATTGGAAGCCATCAGGATGTGAATAGTGTGGTTCATTCTGTGGATGTGGGTGAGACTGGGTAGGAAGAGTGAGTAGAGGAGTGATTTTTAACCTTTTTACAAACTTTAGAATATAGTGAAAGCTATGCCTCTCTCCATAAAAATGCATATATGCCACATGTATACAAGGTATATGTACAATTTCTGGGGGTGGGGGGTAGAGGTGGTTCACAGATCCTCTGAGGCCCAAGGTTAAGGACCCCAGGTTTACAGTGAAAGATAATAGAGCCAAATCCACAGTGCTGGGAGATACAAACATTTAAGGCAGTGTTTCTCAAGGTATGTCCTGAGTTCCACCTGTTATCAGAGTTACCTGGGCTGCTTATTCAAAAATACAGTTTCCTGGGACTCACTCAACGCTAGTGAATTAAGATCTCTTGGAGTAGGACCGGGGAATCTACATTTTTGAACTGCTGCCCCAAGTGATTCATAATGAGCCTTAAAATTTGAGATCCACTGATGTAAGGGGAAAGCAGAGGAAGAAGAGTCTGAAAGAGGCTGAGAAGGAATTGCCAGAGTTAGGAGGAACCTAGGAAGAGGCCTATTGAGAAAGTAAAGAGATTTTCAAGAAGGTGGAGTAGTTTGCAGTGTTAGAACCTGTGATTCAAGGCAGTGGTCTGTGAAGAGGTCAAGTAAGATAATATCCAACATCTGTCCATTGGATTATCAGGTAGAAGATGAATGACAACCTGTCAGGAAGGAAAGAGGGAAGAAAAGGAAGATGGAGACTAGCTCCAGTCTCCTGAGGAAGCAAGTCAGATGAAACCACTCCTTTTAGAGTATTTGTTGTTTTTAATTTATTGGTGTTAGCCTAAATTTTAAAAAAACCTTTAAAAATTGCACAAAAGAAAATATAAACATGTACATACAATTTGAAGGATGTTTATAAAGCAAATACCCATTTAACCACCACCCAAGTCAGACTAGAACGCGGCTGACATCCCAAATATGTCACTCTCTGATCAAAATGCCTTATGTCCCTGGGAGGTAACTACTCTCCTGACTGGTTTGATAATTGTTCCCTTGGTTTTCTTTATACCATCTATGTGTTTATTCTTTTTTTTTTTTAAAGATTTTATTTTTTTCCCCCCAAAGCCCCAGTAGATAGTTGTATGTCATAGTTGTACATCCTTCTAGTTGTTGTATGTGGGATGCGGCCCCAGCATGGCCAGAGAAGCGGTGCGTCGGTGCACGCCCGGGATCCGAACCTGGGCCGCCAGCAGCGGAGCTCACGCACTTAACCGCTAAGCCACGGGGCCGGCCCTATGTGGTTATTCATAAACAGCATAGCTTAGTTTTACCGACTTTTGAACTTGGCACAAACAAAATCATACTGTATGTATTTATATCTTTTTTCATTAGATGAATATTTTTGAGATTCTTCCAAGTTGTTGCATGTAGCTATAGTTAATTCATTTTCATAAATTTCTATTTTATGAATATATCCCATGTTGTGCATTCTAGTGAAAGAAATTGTATTTTTCTAGGAATTTGTCAATTTCATCTAAATTTCCATATTTATTGGCATAAAGTTTGTAGTCTCACTTTATTGTCTGTAGAATCAATAGTGATGACCCCTTTTTCATTCTTTGTATTGGTTATCTGTGCTTTTTCTAGGTTTTCCTCCCCTTTTTCTTGGTCAGTCTCACCACTGGCTTTTCAATTTTAATAGTCTTTCAAAGAATTTATGTTTAGCTTTATTGCTCTCTCGTATGCATGTTTTCTATTTCATTAATTTATTTCCCCTCTACTATTGGGTTTATTTTACTTTTTTTTCCCATTAATTTTCATCCTCTCTTCCTTTCTTTATGCATGTCAGGCTGTAGTTTCCCTCTAAGTACTGATATATATTTATCATCCCCAAGTTTTGGTATATATTTTCACTATCATTCAGTTCAAAATATCTTCTAACTGCCTTTATAATTTTTTCTTTGACTCATTGGGTTGATTAGAAATGTATGTTTTAATTTCTAAACCTTTTCTTATTACTTGTTGTTATTGATTTCTGGCATAAATGATATTGTGGCCAGAGAACATACACAATATGATTTCAATCGTTTGAAACTTACTGAGACTTGCTTTGTGCTGTATGGTCAGTTATGCTAAATATTCTATGTATATTTATAAAGAATATGTATTATTCAGTTATTAACTTCTTGGTAACTAAAGTTATTATTGACATCTATTTCGTCACTGATTATTTTGTCTGTTTGTTCTATGAGTTTATCAGAGTTGGATTAATATGCTTTTGTGATTGTGGATTTGTTAGTCTTTTCAAATAGTTCCCCTAACTTATTATCTCTTTTCTTTCCTCCTGGGACTCCAATTAAACATATATTGGACCATCTCTTTGTATCCTTTAAGTCTCTTAGCCTCTAGTCTGCAATTTCAATCTTTTTGACTGTCTTTTTTATATTCTGGTTACTTTTTTTGATTTCTCTTACAGATTAATAACTTTTTATTCAGCTGTGCCTTAATCTATTAAACCTATCCATTGAGTTCTTAATTGTATTTGCTTCCAGTTCTAGAATTTCTGCTTGGATGTTTTTCAAATCTCTTATGTCAATTTTTATAATTTCCTGCTGAAATTTTTCATCTTGGCTTTTATTTATTTCAGTATTATAAACATAGTTTTTTTTTTGGTAATAATCTGTTTTGGATACTTCCACCATAACATGTCTTTGGGGGCCTATTTCTATTGTCTGTTTCTTTTGAGTTTTGTTTCCTTGTGTGCCCAGTTATTTTTGACTGTGTGCTGGACAGATTTGCCTAAATCAGCAAATGCCCTCCATGTCCCAATTACTTCTGTGAGTTCTTGTTTATATTTAGATATGATGTTGGTCTGGTAATTCCCTATTATCTTGTGAGCTCTTTAATGCTTAAACAATATTTTTGATCATATTTTATCCAGCACTTTAATTAATTTTCAGCAGGCAGGTTGGTTCTTGCTATATTCCTGGAAAAAGAAGTTCTGGTTTATTTTTATTTGTTTTAAATATTTTATGCCATACTCTTCTCCACCTTCCCCCACCCAAAATCTACATTGTTAATTCCTTGAGGGCAGGGCCTGTGTATATTTTGTCTTATTGTCTGGCATATGATTGGTCTTAGAAAATATGTATTGATTGTTTGACAGACAACTGATGAGGTAGGTGGATGGGGGGATGGGTAACTAAATAGAAAAGACTATTTGGTGATCCACCTGATTCTCTCCCCACAGTTTTTCCTTTACTTAGAGAAAAACTCCCCAATACTAGCAAACAAAATCTCCCTGCTCAAAAGTGTCCAGAGTGTAGCAGAACATCTTATGCTGACACCTTTCTTTTCACTCCCATCTCTCTGGAGACAGAAGGAGCTTCAAGAGCAGGGGGAGATCAAAATCATCCAGCTAGGCTTTGACTTGGACGCCCATGGAATTATCTTCACTGAGGACTATAGGACCAGAGTGCGTGTAACTGTGTGTGTGTCTTGGGGAGTGAGGGGGACAGGCAGGGAAAGTGGGAGATGGAAATAAAAAGAAAAGAGAAAATTCCCCCACCCCATATCTCACAGAGAGGGCACAGGGCTCTGGTAAGTGGTAATATGAGGGAGAGGAAGAGGAGGAAAAGTATGAGAGGTGGAAGGACCTTAGCAAAAGGGACAACATAGGAAGGGAAATGTCTTGGGGATTGAGGTTGGTGGAGGGGGAGGGTGGGGCCAGACCATGTCTTTCATCTCTGGTTCCAGGTCCTCAAGGCCTGCGATGGCCGATCGTATGCTGCGGCAGTGCAGAAGTTTCTAGCTTCAGTGCTTCCAGCCTGTGGGGACCTTAGCTTCCAGCAAGACCAAATGACACAGACCTTTGGCTTCAGGGACCCAGAGATCACGTGAGACTTGGGAGACCAACAGAATCAGGCATCTGGCACCTCCCTGCTTCCCTGCAGTCCCATCCAGCCTTGTCCTTTTCCTTTTGGTGAACCTGCCAAAAAGGCTGACTTCTTTTTTTCAGTAAAATGACCTGAAGCAGAAGTCTCTCCCAAGAGAGGAGGCCTGTCTTACCTGGGGCCTTGGAAAGAGCCCGGGACTAAAATTCAGGAGATCTGCATGGCTAATCAAATGCAGATAGAGGCCTGGCAGGAACCATAAATGCCGGATGTGAATCATGCTGAGACTAAGAGAATAGAGGATGGTAGGGGCTATGATGGCCCTAAAGCATTCGCATTCTAAAGAATAATAACGGGACATGGACTAAATAAAAAGATCATTTCAGGGAGCTGTATCTGGCCCAGGCTCCCTACTTTGTAACTCATAGTATAGGTGGAAGCATTTTATAAACTTCTTTTAAGTAAGATGTGAGAGGAGCTGTGGTGAGGTCCTCAGCAGCAGTGGCAGGAGCACAGAAGAAAGACCCTTATTTCTCCCCTGGGGGTGGGACTGAGTGTGTGTCAGCGCATGTGGGCAGAGAGGGCTTCTGAGAGGAGAAGCTGTTTTAGTGACCAAGTAATAGTAACAAGAAAAGGAAGAGTTGGGGGAGGGCAGTCGGGTAGGGGATGGAATAAGCCAGGGCACGGAGGCATGGAGCAGCGCGATGTGAGCAGAGAACCACCCCAGGCTGGGCCTCTGTTATCCAGTCCCTTTGCGTGGTTCCCCACGTTTCTGGAGACTTAATGTCCAAACATTAGTGGGTGGAGAGGAGAGAGGGTTCCTAGAGTCAAGGCCTCATCTCTCCTTGCTTCCCACCCCCCATCAGGCAGCTGGTGAACGCCGGGGTCCTCACCGTCCGAGATGCTGGGAGTTGGTGGCTAGCTGTGCCCGGAGCTGGGAGATTCATCAAGTATTTTGTTAAAGGTATTCTGTCTGCAGCTCAAGCCCTCAGCCCCTCAGGAACATCAGGCCTCCAGGCCTTACTTACCTTTCTCCTCTCCTGTGCCACCTCTCCAGGGCGCCAGGCTGTCCTTGGCATGGTCCGGAAGGCCAAGTACCGGGAACTACTCCTTTCGGAGCTCTTGGGCCGGCGGGCACCTGCCGCGGTGCGACTTGGCCTCGCCTATCATGTGCATGACCTCATTGGGGCCCAGCTGGTGGACTGGTGAGTCTTGTCCTCAGCCTCTGGCAGATGACAGAACAGTGACCCAAGGTTGGATTTCCCTCTTGCTCATGCTTCATTCACTAGTGAAGCCCAGCTCCTCTCTCACTCTCTGGAACCCCAGAATATCCCTGGCCAAGTTCTGAGTTCTCCCCAGACCTTGGGCCTAGGTATCTGGCTCCAGCCTTATCTTTCTCTTGCACAGTGTCTCCACCACTTCTGGAACCCTTCTCCGCCTGCCGGAGACGTGAGGATTCTGCTCGTGCTTGCACATCTTCCCAGAGTGGAGCAAGGGGGGCCCAGGAGTGCTGCCCAGCAGTGGCTGAGACAGGGTCACCTTGGGAAGACTTGGAATCCAGGATGAGTGTTGGGCTTGCATCCACGCAAAGGGTCGGAAATGACTGCTGCTGTTTACCTGGGCTCCGACCCAGTGGTGGGGTTTGGGCAATGCTTCTCTGCCCTTCCATGGAGGTGGAGCCAGAATCTGTGCCAAGGCCATGGCTGCTGCCTTTCATGTAAACGGGTGCTGCTGTTACTTTGTCTGGAGATACAAAGGTGGGGTTTCTGGGGAGGCTGGTGAAGGAGGGCAGGGTTCTCTTCCCTACATGTTGGGTTGAAACTGCCAAATAAAGTACTTCTGCCACTGATATTTTCTGGGTGTCTTTTGTTTAATGTGACACGTGTGTTTGGGCTCCTCGTTTGCGAGTAGAGATAAAGCCAGACTTGGGCCTGAGCTTTGCCTCGTTGTTCAGAGAGGAACAGGGACGTTGAGGTCAATTCCCCCATGGGTGGGGAGGTGAGCCTGATCTCCTAAACCATGGAATTTCTGTTGGGGCCTACAGAAAGCAAAAAGCCTCGTGTAGTTCAGTTTTTGGTGGGGTTATAGTAAGAGACAAGTGTCTTAGTACCTTGTTTTGTTAGGACCTTGACAAAGGAGCCACATGTCTCCAAACCGCATGCTGAACCACATTGGGCTCTCTTATACCCATATATACTTGAGCACGTATATACATACATGCACCCACATACACCCAGTAGAGAGTGGTGCCCCGGGCACTGGGATGAAAGGGGTTAACAGGGAAGGATAGGATCTGTGTCTGGGCCATGATTTCTCCAGAGACCCAGGTGTCTGGGGTGCCCCCCCAAATACTGGGCCTAGGGCCAGTTGCATTTCTTGGCTGTCACGTGGTTTCCCAGCTCAGCTGGGCCAGGGGAGGAGCAACATCTAGAGTCAACTCTGTTCCAAGCCCTAGGTTGACCAGAAAGGAGGAGACGGACAGACGGGTCTGATCCTTCTTGGGTTCTCCAGCCATGAGGCTTCTCTGGGGGCTGATCTGGGCATCCAGCTTCTTCGCCTTGTCTCTGCAGAAGCCCAGGTCCTGGAGGCAGGATGCTGGCATGCTTGAGCAGGAGCAGAGCTGGCGATGGGAGCGCAGGCGTGGGGGAACCTGATGGAGGATTGAGGGGTGGAGGGGCCCAAGTGGAGGCTGACTGCTGACCCTCACCTGTCTTCCCCAGGTTGCTCCTGTTTTCTCCTTCTGTGGTTCACCTGGGGGCCCCTCTGTCAGTGGGACTGCAGCTCCACGATGTTCCCCGGGGCCAGGTAGTGAAAGGATTACTGTTCCTGAGAAACCCATCCAGCAATAATGCTCCCTGCTCCCCAAAGGTGGACTTCACCCTCAGCTCAGAAGATGACTTCAAACTCTTCAGCCTCCAGGTAACTGGACGCCACTCCCTCCTGCTGCGTCTCAGCACCTCCTACTCTCTTCCGCCCTGTCTTCTTGTAAATGTCTTTGTCCTGTCCCTGGCCTCCCTCCCCGCCTTTCCTCTCCACAATGGCTTCCTTCCCTGTTTCTGTCTCAGTCTCTCTGGCTTTTTCCTTCTGCTCTGTCTCTGACCTGCTCCCTCTCCCTCTCCTGACAGATCCCCCTGAAAGATGCACAGAGCTGTGGCCTCTTTCGCCTCCTTAGAGGTCCCGAAGTCCAGCTGGTGGCCGAGTCGCCATGGCTGAAGAACTCTCTGTCCAAAAAGACAGACTTTCAGGGCGTCAACCTGCGCTTCTCCTCTCGCCGAGGCCACCTCTTTCTGCAGACTGACCAGCCCATTTATAACCCTGGCCAGCGGGGTAAGTTAGCCCCAGAGCCTCTGCCTTTAGCTCCCTCCCAGCCCCTTCAGCGAGATAACCTGAAAGTGACGCACAGGAAGGCTGCTTAGCAAATATTTGTTCTCTTCCTCCTCACTCCCTGGAAGGGACTGGGGGACCAGGGCCCGCCTTCCCTTTGCACGTGAGCTCCTGCTCACCTCTCACCCTCCCCTCCCAGTTCGGTACCGGGTCTTTGCTCTGGATCAAAAGATGCGCCCATCCACTGACACCCTCACGGTCACTGTGGAGGTGAGTCCCTGACCTCTGACCTTCCTGATCAGCGAGGGCCACTGATCTGACCTGCCACCCATGGCCATTTCTACTCCCATCACAGAACTCTCATAGACTCCGTGTGCGGAAGAAGGAAGTGTACGCTGCTACGTCCATCTTCCAGGATGACTTTGTGATCCCAGACATCTCAGAGTGAGCTCTCCCCACCTGAGGATTGGCCCCTAGCTACACCTCCCCAGTTCCCGTTTCCCCCTGCTCTCCACCTCCAATACAGAATCAAGTCCCGAGCTCCCCTGAGCCTCTGGTTTACCCTCACAGTCCTCTTCCCAAGGAGCCAGGCCGCTGGCTTTCCATGGCCTCTTGCGCAAGTTGGCTGAGTCCCTTCCTTGTCTGTCCTCAGGCCAGGTACTTGGAAGATCTCAGCTCGATTCTCAGATGGCTTGGAATCCAACAGTAGTGTCCAGTTTGAAGTGAAGAAATATGGTGAGAGCTGGAGACACAAGGGACAAACAGCTCCTTTCCAGAAGGGAGTAAGGGGTGGAAGGAGAGGTGGTGGGACCAGGGCAGGGTCAGGGAGATATGGGTGCCACAGCCCTGAGGGGAGAGGAGTCTTTAAAGGGTCCTTTCACCAGAGTTTGACCTCCCTACCCCTTTACCTCGGGTCAGTCCTTCCCAACTTTGAAGTGAAGATCATTCCTGGAAAGCCCTACATCCTGACAGCGCCTGGCTTTCTTGATGAAATCCAATTAGACGTCCAGGCCAGGTAACTCCCCCCACCCCCTTCACTCCCCACTGCTGGCCCTGCTCCCGGGGCTTCCCACTCAGTAAGAATGTGCTGTGAATCCCCACGTCCCTCCCTCGTCCCAGCCCCCCTCCCTCCCAGACCATTCCATTATTCCCTCCAGTCGTCACTCTACCCTCTTCCCAATCTCTCCGTGGTGACAGGTACATCTACGGGAAGCCAGTGCAGGGGGTGGCATATGTACGCTTTGGGATCCTGACTGAGGATGGTAAGAAGACTTTCCTTCGGGGGCTGGAGAATCAGACCAAGGTAGGAAGGAGGGTGCGGGGTGTGAGGAGGGTGAGAGAGAAGAAGAGGGGGAAGTGGGAGACTCAAATCTCACCCCATGTCCTGTTTTCTTCTTTGCCCCAGCTGGTAGATGGCCAGTGCCACGTTTCCCTCACAAAGGCTGAGGTTCAGGGTGCCCTGGAGAAGCTCCAGCCTTCTAAGATTAACATGGCTCACCTCCCAGGGCTGCGCCTCTACGTTGCAGCAGCCATCATTGAGTCTCCAGGTGAGTGGCTTCCCCTGATTACAACCCCAGACCCTTGCCTCTGACCTCTGAGCTGACCCTCTGTTCTTCAGCACCAATACCAGCCCCCACCCTTCTTACTTTCATCTTGGACCCAAAGCCAGAAAAGACACAGGAGACTGTCTCTCTCCAACCGTGTTTCTGGGGAAGGGGTACCTTCCCCTGTCTCAGTTTATTTTTTTTTCACCCACCCAGCTAGCCAGCAGACACATGTCGTGTACCATCTGTGTGCTGGGTCCTGTGTTGGCCTCAGCAATCATGGAGATGAATATGAGACAGCCCGTGCCCTGAGGAGTTCACTGTCTTGTGGGCAGGAAACACTTGCGCTGCGTCTCCTCTTGCTCTCCTGTTCCTCTCCTGTCCTCCACCTCTCTCCACCCCTTGTCTTGCAGGTGGGGAGATCGAGGAGGCAGAGCTCACATCCTGGCGTTTTGTGTCATCTCCCTTCTCCTTGGATCTTAGCAACACCAAGCGACATCTCATGCCTGGGGCCCCCTTTTTGCTGCAGGTTTCTCCTGGAGGGAAAGGATGAACAGGAGAGGGGGGTGTTGGTCAGAAGGGCACAAGGCCTCACTGACCACTCTCTTTTACCTGCCCCTCCCCTACCCACCCAGGCCCTGGTCCGAGACATGTCAGGCTCTCCTGCCTCTGGCATTCCTGTCAAAGTTTCTGCCAAGTTGTCTTCTGCTGGGTCTGTTTCTGAAACCCAGGCCCTTCAACAAAATACGGATGAGAGTGGCCAAGCCATCATCCCCATCGTTGTTCCTCAGACCGTGCTAGAACTGCAGCTCTCGGTAGGACTCTTCCTCTTCATGGGAGAGGGCGGGCGAAGGAAAGAAGGGTCAGCTGGGCCGCTGAGGATCCATGTCCCAGGATGGGGGCACAAACTGGGTGCCTGGGTCCTTGCCACTGACTCTGCCCCCACCTGCCCCTCTTTCCAGGTGTCTGCGGGCTCCCCCTATCCAGCCTTAGCCAGGCTAACTGTGAGAGCCCCACCCTCAGGAGGCTCGGGGTTTCTGTCCATTGAGCGGCTGGATCCTCGACCCCCTCACGTCGGGGACACCCTCAACCTGAACCTGCGAACTGTGGGCATCAGTGCGCCCAGCTTCTCTCATTACTACTACATGGTGTGTATGAGCCGGGTTGTAGAGCAGGGCAGGGGTGCAGGGAGGGGCTCAGGCAGGAAAGAGCCCTTGTGTGGGGCAGTGGTTTCAGGGCTGGGGTGTGCAGTGAAGAGGAATCTACTCTTGCCCCTCCTCTTCTTGGCCCAGATCCTATCCCGGGGCCAGATTGTGTCTGTGAATCGAGCGCCGAGGAGGACCCTGACCTCAGTCCCCGTGTTTGTGGACCATCACCTTGCACCCTCCTTCTACTTTGTGGCCTTCTACTATCAGGGCGGCCTCCCAGTGGCCAACTCCCTGCGCGTGGACGTCCAGGCCGGCACCTGTGAGGGCAAGGTAATTGGCATCAGGAGAGACAGTGTGTGTATGCATTGGGGGTTAAGAGAGAAAGAAGACAAGGTGATTGTGAACAGGGCATGGATTTAGTTTGGGGTGCACTGAGGATGCACTGAAAGAAACTCTCCCCACTCTGTCCCCCACTTCCCACCTCTGCCAGCTGGAGCTAAATGTGAACAGTGGCAAGGAGTATCATCCTGGGGAGACGATGAAGCTCCACGTACAAACCGATTCTCCAGCCCTGGTGGCGCTGGGAGCTGTGGACACGGCTCTGTACGCTGTGGGTGGCAGGTCCCACAAACCCCTCGACATGGGCAAGGTTTGTCAAGACCCTCTCCCCAGCCCTCCCTCCCTGCTGCGGCTCATTCTCCTGCCACCCTGAGCTCAGCCCCTAAATCTCACTCCTGCTCCCCATGGACTCCTCCCAGTCGTCCCACAAGCCTTGGCCCCTGCGGTCTCTATTTCCCCACTCTCTGTGTCTCTTTCATAGTTGTCCATACCCTGC